GATCACCGAGACTGTATCCGTGGTGAACAGAACCCACATATTTTCATGAATCAGCTAGATGTTCCCAACCATCTGTTTGGGAAGGCGTTCCGGTAGAACGCATATGTATTATATGGCTGTGCTGCGAGGATTCTTCGGAAGAATACAGGCAAATCACCAGTTCATAAAGATCATCCTACCGTCATTTAGATTAGACTAAAGCAGTATCCATTCCCCTTCAGTCTCTATGCCTTCAGTCGATAAATAACAGAAGTCAATCAACGGACAGGTATATTGATGTTTCCGTTGATTTCGCTTCAACTCGCTGCCGGCAGGTACTTGTAGGTTGACCCGCAGATTCATATAACTCGTGGTGCTTCTTACTGCTGAAATGATGTTAACTTCCACTTGTGTCGACCTTCGGTGGAAATGGGGTGTATCAACTGGAACAGCCAAACACCAAGTAGCTGCACACTAGTCCTTGTAAGGTTGCGGGGATGGTCACTCCAACTGCAATACTGCCCATGTACTCGTTTGGTAAAGCATTTTGAGGAATGACCACTTGGTCGGGAGTATCACTATTATAGGTAGAAATTCGTCACATTTAGGCTCACTCAGATAGCCATCACACGACCGGAAAAGCACTGAGGCCGTTTCATCCTTCCGGGAATCGTCAGTCGTGCGCATTCCATCTCACCCTGGTAGGGCTCGAACTCGCAGCTCAACCGTTACCAGTCCGTGGTTGAGACCACTGAGCTACGGGGGAAGCAATGGCTATCGTGAATAAGTTACTAGATGTGATATAGTGCCGCTCACTTGCACTTTACTGCTATGCAGCAGACAGAGTAGCCCCCTTACCAAGCGATGAACTTATCAAACTTAAGCCGTCACATCTGTGTGGCGAATTTCTACCTATACCATTCAACTCCCCCTACTACTCTTCTGTATCACTATTACTCAATGGATAACATGAACACAGCTAGAAACGTCCTGTTACGGCTCACCACATTGAAAAACGATGTGAACTGGCTCTGAGGATGCACGGTGACGTCACTCGATAGTTAATGAAAGACGATAGAGGCTCATCTATAGTTGACTTGTCATTCTATTCCATACTAACCGGAGCATAGAATAAGTGTTCTTGAAGTGGCGGTTGTCAACCGCCATTTCAGTCGCTGAAAGCCGCTAATGAAAATCTCGCGAATGTTCATGCGACACCACTGTTATTGTATTGTCCCACAGGCATCACACTGTGACGACTGAATGATCAAATAAGTGAAAGCCAGGCTGACTGCCACTCCATCAGAGGTTGCATTCACCGCGACGTTACTCACTGTTTGTCGTCTGGACAGCTCCGTACATGCAGAAACCCTTGACTTGAAGGTCACCTTCGACTCAGCTCATCGCACCTGTCTTGGATGTCGCCTGTACCAGATTGGCTTACCAGAGAAATTTCTCCAGACTGTATTTCATATCCTGCAACTCCCGCGTGTGTGTGTATTTGCGAGATGTTGCCCGTGAGATTCATCAGAGCTCTCCTCTTCTACGTGCAACTGGATTATCGATAAGATGGCACACGACTGTTCCTCTTGGCCCTATGGTAACACAAAATATCTCAGAACTGGAAAATGCCGGCGTCATACTATTCTCGGGTTGAACGCACCCACTGTGCAGGTGCTGCTGAATATGCCAATGAGGAGTTCTGTATGTTTCAGCATGTGTTACTCGCCTTTTTAGTACCATTACTGTCGAAGGAGAAGGCATACACTACCGGTTCTAACTCCAACCGAATGTTCACTGGAAGTTGTCGATCAGTGCACTTATCTAGCTACTTATACCCCATTTAATAGCTGTTACCAAAGAAGCTAATGCACATGACCACAAGCACCCAACGCCACAGTACCTCCAGTGTTGTTCTAAAAATCAGAGCCGCCCACTGTGCGTTGAAAACCCTAAGCGATGGTTTGTCTTTGAGCACCGGTACGTACGTGTCCCCACGCACATCTTATGGGCTTGCTGTTGTTTTGTAACAGACCCACTGACACAGCGCTGTACCATTTTGGGGACTAAACCTTCTACATAGGCTTGGCGTTGCTTCGCGTGTGCTCGTTCGTCTCTCACAGCGGTGTGCGTTTTAAACACTGCACCTAGTTGGTTGTAGCATCAGGGCAGTCACTTGATGATGTGGCAAAGGGTGTTAGCACATGTAGCTTCTTGAGTTCGTGCCACTGCAGGTGTTTGAGACCATAGCCTCCAGAATACAGTAGCATATTCCGTAACATCGAAACATCCTTTCAACTAGTTTAATCATGCCAGGCATGTCCTTTTTTCATTTCTCCTCACGTCTGACTTTTATCAGCATGGTGATTCGGATCCCAACATTTGAGTCAACTGTACCTCAGTGCCCGGGTCCGAGTTGAGCACGTTCGCCGGATCAGGTCAGGTCAGGTCACACGCACCGAGTAATTTGGGCCTAAAGTGCTCTCAACTGGTTGTGGAGTTTATCAGGACGATGTGGAACATGAGCACTCTCGAGGTTTGGCTGTCGGCGGGTGCTCGAGTGGTCTGCGCGTTTGGTGACCGGTTCGAATCCGCCCAGGGATGGGCGTCCTGGCGGTATACTCAGTCCACGTGAGACTGGTGGTGGTCGCGCGGCAGCGAAGCGCCGTTACGGCGTACAGCTGACACTTTATCTATTATTATTTGGGTTTGGCCAGCTAACCCCGCCGCGTAGTTCGCTATGCCGCGTGGGTGATTAGCATGGATGCTCGATCTGACAGTCATGCAAATAGACAACCTTCAATTGTTCATTTGTTCTCCGAGCTTGGCGGATTTCTCGCAAACGTTTCACCACCATGCGAGGTGGCATTCTCAGTGCATTGATATGTAGCGTGCAAGCTTACTAAATGCATCCTCCATCCATGATCGACCTACAGGTGACTTTGAACGTGGCAGTGTCGATTTAGGTCCCGTGACCTCTACCCACTTTCCCCAAGGCTAAAGTCGGCGCCCGATTTGAGGCAGAACAACTCGGGCGCCGACTTTAGCCTTGGGGAAAGTGGGTAGAGGTCACGGGACCTAAATCGACACTGCCACGTTCAAAGTCACCTGTAGGTCGATCATGGATGGAGGATGCATTTAGTAAGCTTGCACGCTACATATCAATGCACTGAGAATGCCACCTCGCATGGTGGTGAAACGTTTGCGAGAAATCCGCCAAGCTCGGAGAACAAATGAACAATTGATTCATCAACCCGAGCTACCAGTATTTCGAAACATTTTAGACAACCTTCAATCAATGGCTTTTCCATCTTACTTTACTCAAGTGTACTGAATCATTGAGTTTGGCGGTTACTTCCATTAGACTCCGGGGTGTAATACATGGGTCACGAGCGCTGGTAAACCAGCTGAGCTGTTCGAGGAGCAAGCGACAGCACGATACCAGAAGGGTATGAAAGTAAACTGCTTGGTGCGTTTTCCGGGTCATGTTTCGTTTTGTAAGATGAAGCTTGAGCTTTCGGCAATGTTTGAAAACAATCACTCGGTATTTCTGGTCGGCAACGTTTCGCTTTTGACACCAAAGCTTCGTTTGGTACAACCTCCATGTCCTTAGGAGGGGATTGCGGTTAACACCCCGGCGGTTCATTGCCGTGGCGATGAAATTCGCCAGATCCAACAGCTGCGTGCACTGAATTGATGGGATGGAGCTGTAAAATATGTGCTAAACTGTCTTAGCCCAGTCGGACGGACAGATTCAGATTGGAGAGCAAACACCAAAGCAGTCGCAGTCCAGCCACTTAAAAGGTTTTACGTCTGGTGACCTGGTAACGTGTAACACTTGGACCCTTCCCTTCTTGATGTGACAAGGAATGACACGTCAATCTCTAACGGTGATTACTCTCCACCACATCCATGGTTTATCTTGACTATCCTCTCAGTTTGCTGTAAACTTCACGCCAATTATGTTCCAATTTAATCGACCTGATGGAATTTTGTTCTCAAGGGAGCATTGCAAAACAAAATAATCAACCGACTGTTTTCAAACACTTCTGAAATCATGAGTTCATGATTCGTTCCAACCATCTTTTAAGATGTTAAAGTTTAGGAATTACGACTTTTCATGCAACGGCTGGGCCCTAGGGATGATAAATCTGATGGGGTCCAGCCGACTTGAGATGTGTTACAGATCATGCTGCAGCGGCACTCTTCATACAACTCCATCTTCCTCACCATCTTCGTTGCCCCCCCCCTTCCAACTACCACCAGTATTGATGCAGCATGTATTTCTTGTACTGCCATCTATATTTCTGCTGCTATGCGCTGTCATCAATACAGGTTACCTGCTACTTTGTGCTCGCGTCTAGTTTTCAGACGATCATCTATGTGCCACTGCGTGATGTTAGCGTGTTGTCTAGATGACGCGTGCTAACATTTTTGGCAATGGTGAAATGATCATTTGCTGTTGACTCTGCCCCTTGCTTTATCGCGCTTGACGCATTCAAACGATTGGGTTGTCACTGCCACCTCAGCGCCACTTTCCAGTGGAGATGTCAACTTACACCACTGGTTATTGTAATTGCTTCCGCCTTAGTAACCGCCGGATCTTATACTTGAAGAAGGGAGGTATTGTAGTAACCTACATATTTGCACTGCACCAAACAAGTGAAACCTCGTGATTGAAATAATTAGGTTGGTGTAAAAATGATTACAAATTATTCAGTCCACATTCTCGGAATTTTCTGTCGTAGACGACCTTCAGAGAACGAAACATCGAAACTGTAAGTTTCGATTTGAAACTCGCCCCTGTTGTCTACATTAGTTACATGTAAGTTAGAGCGTATAACACAAGTGATTCTTTATGGCGTCGACGTTAGTCCCCAGTGCCCCTGAAGGCACATACATGGAGCCTTGGCGATTCACTTCGGTGGAATACTGTTTACTTAAGTACCACTGTATGCCTGAAACTTCATTCGCTTAACCTTAAAGTCAAAATATCCCACTTTCTGGTACTCCTTGTTTAGAACAAATGTCCAGAATTACTTTAACATTCCCAAGGAGGAAAAGCTGGCCGGTGTTCTCTCGGTTGTCTGCAGTCGCATACAAGAGATGATGAGAAACTCCGAAAATCTCTTCTCGGTGAGCACCATTGTTCTACTTTACATCCAACTGCTTCCACCATTTCGAAACTGGATGTACACCAAGTCACTATTTCGAAAAGAACGATGCGAAACTTGCTTTGTAACAATCCTAAACTAATATATACGATCTCCCAACAGAAATATCGGGTTTCACCCTGTAAGGGAAGTCAACTGTTAATCGTATTTCCCGCCCACACGTACACATAATTCTGTGCTATCGGGGCCATAAATGTGCCAATAACAACAACCAACCAAACGTTAAGATCTTCTCTCCGGATAATCGACGCTGGATAAGCTATCTCTCCATGGTCTCCTCCAACGAATACCGCTGACTGTTAGCCCCATGAGGAAATTGCAAGCGGCCATCTCAGCCATGGAGGAAGGGCAGGTGAGTAGGAGACGGAGGAGCGATGTAAACAAATCGGGTCGCATAACTGAGACAGATGTTACAAGCGATGAACCGTACCACGTCGAATTAACCCCATAACATAGACCGGTGGGCATGATCAAAGAATAGATATTTGCCTATGTATGACCGCACCTCGCTGTGTGTCCGGTTACAAACACTTTTATTCGCACGTGAGTCACATGCATCGCCCGACAGGCAATGGTTCGTAATACTCAGTCGCCACAATCCTCCACTGCTAGATCAGTGTTATCTAGCTTGATAGCGTTCTACTCTCTGCTTCCTACGAAGTGATCACCATCGCTGTATAGTAGATATCGGAGCGCCGTCTTTCTGGTAAGGCTTCTGGTGGTATTCTTAGGTGTGCAGACGACGAGTAATTTGCTTGTTCCTCTTCTGGACTCGCAGGCAGTCTTCAGACTTGGTCCAAATGACATCCAACTATTCGACCGTTCTCCAGCTCTGCTCTTACTATACTACCACTTTTTGACTTCGTAATTTCTCAGATCTAAGTTTTATCGGTTGGCCTCAGTTTAGGATACACTCTATCGTCTACCTCATCCACACGATCGTTTGTCCTCATATCGTGTCAGCGCTTCAGATATGACTGACGATAAAAGACCGTTCTAAGCCGGTCGGGATTAATCAGACCCAAACAAGTGCGCGGCCGTTTCCCCATCAGAAGCTCACACGGCGCATGATCCGTGGTAGTGTGTGGTGTAATACGGTATTGTGGTAGAAATTTACCCAGGCTGCCTTGTAACATCCTACTCCGTTGTTTGGCCACAGCGTGTTAGATTTTCGCAAACACTCTTTCGACCCGACCATTGGACGTAGGATGGTATGGTGCTGAGAGAACGTGCTCGATTCCACTTTGACGCAAGAATTGTCCGAATTCGTCGCTGGTAAGTGCCGAGCTATTTTCTGAGACTGCTAGACATATTTAGGAAAGATGTTATTACAAATGTGCACGGTGGTTGGCTCAAGTACGGATGTGGTTGCCCGAGCTTCGATCCGTTTGGAATGTGCCTCCACTAAAATCAACATCATGGATCCGTCGATGGAGCCACATAAGTCAATATGCATTCTGTCACATGAGCGAGAGAGCCACTGCCACGAAAATACTGGCACAGGCTGTGGGGATGCTTTCTCCTCCCAACAGCCAGCGCACAACCGTACTATTTGCCCTATCCCCTGATCTACCGCCGGCCACAAGATATTTAGCATTTTCAATTCCAATTGGGCGTTTAGCAGACCAACTTGAACTCTTTGCAACCCAAAATGGACACATGGCGTTCTGAGCAGAAAATCAGCAATTTATTAGCAACAACTGAGGAGTAAGGCGACTGGATGATGTTCAGAGCACTTGTGGTCATGCTAATGCAACTGAAGCATGTAAGCAGCGGGCGGTTGTGCAAGTGCTTCTCTTGATCTTGGGTTCCATTCACCCATCCGCGTAGGGGTGGGCGTCCTCGCGGTATACTCAGCCCGCGCGCGACTGATGGTGGTTGCGCGGCAGCGAAGCGCCGTTACGACGTACAGCTGATACATTATTTATTTTATTATTTTTATTTCCCATTCACCCCGATCAATGTTGGTGACCGGGTTTTCCTCTGTCTCCACATAGGCCTTCGCGTGTCTTGCATGGGTGTGTGGGTGAACGCGTGCACTTGCACGACTATTAGGACAATGTAGGCTGTTATGACTCCACCAAACCCAGCCTAGCTTCATTAGTCTTGTGCTACATGAAACGACTAAAATGAGCGACGAAGGACGAGAGGATGCATCTCCGAGGCAGCGACAGTGTAAGTGAACGTCATCGACACAGAAAGAGATTCTTATCTAGGTTGTGCCTGCAGACGATAACCCCCTTCCCAGGAAGCTGCTGAAATCGCTGATGTCAATGAGAGCACGGCAAGAAACATCATCAATGCCTACAGGCGAGAAGGTATCAATACTGAATGCAAATGTGTAGGAAAAGACAGGGAGAAACTGACTCCCGATGTGCTGCAGCGCGTTGAAGAGACAGTTGAGCGGTATTTCGATGACACTTTGGCGCAGCTGCGGTCCTCAACACCTTCAGAAGGCTAAAGATTGAGTTCGAGAAGTGTCATAACGAGTTAGACTTCGTGCACAGTGTCACAGCAATCGCGGACTGGAAGGCCTACGCTGTCGACATCTCGGTATATGCACGGAATAACAAACAGAATTGCATCTTCACAGATCGTAGCGGCTTCAATCCCCATCTGCGGTGGACGCAGACGTGATCAAGCTGAGGGACGTGCGCCAAGGTCCTCTTGCCCACAGTCGGAGGCCGCATGATGACACTGATTGTGGCAATGAACAGGTAAGAAATCTTACACTCAAAGATCATCAACGATGGCACTTACAGTAATGCAAATTCTTGATGTTCTTCCAGGAAGTCGTGGCGCGTACACGCTGCGGAGGGGTGATGAACGGTGCAAGGGTGATCATGGAAAACGCTAGGATCCACGTGTTGGATGACCTAAAGAGTATCCTGGGCTCGTGTAAGTACTTGAAGTTCCTGTCGCCCTACTCCTACATGATCGACCCAGCAGAACACGCGTTTCGATGGTGAAAGCGTCGGCGGGGCACCTGCCGACCAAGCAAACTGACCAGACGCTAAGTGCCGTCATTTAAGGTAACCTTGGAATGGTAACCTGGCAGGGCTGCACGAACCGCGTCCTCAGCACTGCTCAACCAGACAAGCAGCATCGGACAGCCCTTCATCAACTGACCGTCTCTAACGACACTGCTTTCCTTCTTGTAAATGAACCATTTTTATTTTAAACTGGTATTTTTCAAAACCAAACCTCCGGAGTTATCATGTAGGAGTAGTGCGTGTACCGAAAATAGAGGATAGGTCTTTGCAGTCCGCGATTGCTGTGACACGGTACACGCAGTCTGACTCGTTATGGCACTTCTGGAACCCAATCTTTAGCCTTCCGAAGGTGTTGAGGACCGCAGCTGCGCCAAAGTGTCATCGAAATACCGCTCAACTGTCTCTTCAACGCGCTGCAGCACATCGGGAGTCAGCTTCTCCCTGTCTTTTCCTACACATTTGCATTCAGTATTGATACCTTCTCGCCTGTAGGCATTGATGATGTTTCTTGCCGTGCTCTCATTGACATCAGCGATTTCAGCAGCTTCCTGGGAAGGGGGTTATCGTCCGCAGGCACAACCTAGATAAGAATCTCTTTCTGTGTCGATGACGTTCACTTACACTGTCGCTGTCTCGGAGATGCATCCTCTCGTCCTTCGTCGCTCATTTTAGTCGTTTCATGTAGCACAAGACTAATGAAGCTAGGCTGGGTTTGGTGGAGTCATAACAGCCTACATTGTCCTAATAGTCGTGCAACTGCACGCGTTCACCTACACACTTATGCAAAATACGCGAAGGCCTATGTGGAGACGGAGGAAAACCCGGTCACCACCATTGATCGAGGTGAATGAGACCCAAGATCAAGAGAAGCACTTGCACAACCGCCCGCTGCTTACACACTTCAGTTGCATTAGCATGACCACAAGTGCTCTGAACATCACCCAGTCGCCTTACTCCTCAGTGGTTGCTAATAAATTGCTGATTTTCTGCTCAGAACGCCATGTGTTCATTTAGGGTTGCAGAGCGTCTAAATTGGTCTGCTAAACGTCCAATCTGAAGTGAAAGCGGTATGCTTGCTGATATTTCTTGGTGCCCTGTATGGAGTTTCTGTAGGATATTCTGACGAAACCGTTTGTGGACGACGACTAATGGGTCTCATAGTATACAACCATCTTCGTAGCTCTGACTGTGTCTTCGGCTGTGAAATGCTTTTGGACCATCGTCTACCTTAGCCGGGCAACCAGTTAGGACATAATCAGGCACCTTCGACAGTTCAGGGTCACTCCTTGTTTCTGATCATATCCGTTGCTGTCACCGGCGAAGCATCCAACCCAGATATCATTTGCACCAGTCCTGTCAAAGCTAGAGTGTGGCTGGGAACTACCGGTAATGGAATTCGGCCGAGAGCATGGACACACTGATTCTCCTTGACGGGAAGATATGTTACGTGTTACTGATAGCCAGCGAGTGGAAGGGCCCAGCGAAGCACACGGGCCATGTCATTTGGATAATCGTTTTGATTCACGCAGGATTCCTAGTTGTGGGTTTTGGTCTGTGTATACTTCAAACCTCTGATGAAATAGATATTGGTGAAAACGGACAACCCCAAATACGACCACCAAAGCATCAGTGTCAATTTGTGCCTAACTTCGTTCGGTCTGCGATAGGGTGAGAGAGGCAAATGCAAATGGTTTGCTTACTCCGTTCGTGTCAGGTTGTAACAGGATGGCTGTGCCTCCGTACGGTGATGCATCACATGTCAGCATCATGTAGTTTTCGGGGTTAAAGAGAACCAAAACCGATGGAGTGGCCATTGCAGTTTTAGCTTGACGAAGGGCCCATTCCTCCGTCTCAGACTGCACCTACTCAGTGCCCTTGCATAACAAACGATGCACGAGTGTAACACTGAGGCTGGTTGCCGAACAAGCCTTGAGTAGTGATTGTACATTCCCAAGAACGACCTCAACTG